TAGAGCAGTAATAGTAATAAATAAAATTAAATTTGATCACTTATGAATTTTTCTCATCTGAATCTCATCTTTCACTCTTCAGAAGACTTGATTATAAAACTGAATTTATTTTAAAAAACTTTTTTTTGAAGATACTGTTCTATAATATATACTCATTTGAATTTTCTTCTTTAATAGATATGATTTTATGATGTCAGTTAAGGAAATATGATTTCTTAAAATAAATTCATTTTAACATCAAGTCTCCTGAAAAGTGGATGCAATCCAATTGACCATCAAGACCATTAATTTTCCCAATATGGTTCTGGTGTATAAAAATTCATATATCATTTTATCCCATATATAGTATATCCAACTCAATTATTCGCAATGAATCTTCTCCCCCGGTTAGCGATTTGCAAAAAAAAAAAAAAAATAATTTACAAATTCAAGTGCCCTTTGGGAGATTGTATCTCCAACGAATTAAATAATATTTATGTTGGTCACACCACAAACTCGCTTTCACGACGCTTGACACTACATTTGAATGAAAACATTTAAAACAACATGTCTGGCCACATACACAATTCCGTAAAATCCTTGTTGAAAACACAGTTATACTTAAACATGAAAACAATAAACAAAAACTGAAAATTCTTGAAGCTATATACATAAAACAGTTGAAACCTAACCTGAACAAAATAAACTATGAAATCTCCACAAATATTCTTAAATGTCTATAATTGGTAACAGAAGCCATTGGTTTATACCAACGGCTTCCCATACTTAATACTTCTCGAATTCATTTTCGCGTGGTCATGTGTAACGTCATGAGCTGCGGTGCGATTTTCGCTTCCAGCGTCTTATATGCACGTGTTTATCCTTGCTTGGAAATCATCCATGTAAACAGAAACAGACTATCATCACATTCTTGTCCGTGTATTGCTTAATATATTGTACTGTAATTGTCATCTTTGATAATGGCTTATGTAAGCCGAAAGCTTAGATTGGATTAAAAAATATGTATCAATATTGTGATTTTCTTTCTTCGTTTAATGATAATGTTATTAAGCTTATCAGACGTTATGAAAAGAATTTACATAAAATAGACAACACTTGTCTATGAATATATATATATATATATATATATATATATATAGAGAGAGAGAGAGAGAGAGAGAGAGAGCAACAATATTATTATTATTATAATGGAAAATCCTCACCTGCCTAAAATTTTATTGTACAGTGAGATCTCCAAGTGTCAGAGGGGCACCAAAGAAGTGATTACAAGATTGCCTGACAAAATCCTTTGGTGCCTATCACATCAACCATTGCCAATGGTCAAGAACTGTGATGCCTGGCATCTCACCACCAACCATGCTATCTCTTTCTTTGAAAATACCCGCAGAGACAAGAGTCAGAGGAGGAAGTACTGCAACACTATGCCATCAATCCCAAACAAGACTCTCAGCTCCAAGTCCTGCGACCATGTATGCCTGTTTCACATTGGACTTATCAGTCACAAACTAGCCTGCAATCAAAATGAAAAACTCCCTCTTGATCTTCATTTTTCCCAAGTCCAGCCATGATGATGATGATATATATATATATATATATATATATATATATAACTCTGCCTCCACTATCCCAAATAATCAAAAGTCACTGGGAAATACTACATCTCAAACCAAACCTAAAAAAATTGTTTGAGGAATCCGGCCTTCTAGCATATCGTAGTCTTAAGAAGCTAAAAGAAATCATAGGTAGTGACCACATTTCTGGGGACAAGGTAATCCATAATAAACCAAAAACAAAAACAACAGGATTTTCCCAACCATGTAACAACAAAAGGAGCTTATGCTGTAACCACATTAGATACACGAATTCATTCACTAGCTCTGTCACTAAATCTACTTTCAAAATCTACCACGACTCTAACTGTAGAAGTCATAACATAATTGAAAAAATAGAAAAGTTCAGAGCAGATAAAATTAGAAATAAGTGGATTCGGCACCTAAAAACGCTCCATCCAGACGGGCTTAATCACAAATTTAACAACATAGATAGAATTAATATATAACCCCACAAATCAGGACCTACCCACATTTCTCTCCCACACAAGACAGACATGCTTGCGGATATGTTGAAGCCTCAAACTTATACACACACCCATAATAATATACATACTTACACACATCATACTCACTCACTCCCTAAGAACCAAATAACACACACACTTAACAGAGACACATCCCCTTTCCAGGAACCAATAAAACTATCAAAATGACTAAAGGAATTCAGAGCAGCATGAATCCATCCAGCTCTTATCTTAAATATCTTAAATAACAACTTAAATGAAACTGTTTGACTAACACAAAAACTGACCAAATTTCATGTTAAAAAATTTAAAAAAAATAAAAAAACAAATGAAAACTACAGACAAAAGTTCATTTTCTCCATCATGTCATTCATTTCTGTGGTTCTCTACTACTAACAAGCAGAAATTGTTTTCTCCTGATGATGGCCATGTTGGTCGAAACTATTCGAGGAATCTAACTGAAATAATAAAAACGAAAGAATATTGATATACAACCCAGTGTGTCTGAAGATTTTAATTTTTTGAATATTTTTATTGTTCAAAACATGTGTGTGTGTGTGTGTGTGTGTGTGTGTGTGTGTGTGTGTGTGTGTGTGTGTGTGTGTGTGTGTGTGTGTGTGTGTGTGTATCCCAGGCAAATGAAAATTCAAGCAAGATATTCAAAGGGATGTAGATTTATATCCAATTTCACAAAGCTTCACAAATGTTCAATATGCAAACCACCTGTGACACAACATATATCAGTAGTCCAGCTTCTGCTAAAAACGCTGTAGCATGTCTTGTGTAACATTCTCCAGCACATCAGTAATTCTTTGCTTAATTTCCTCTAGGATTGTAGGAAGAGAGGAATATAGACGTGTCCTTTCACACAGACCCATAAAAAATCACAAAGCGTTAAGTCAGCTGAATGTGGTGACCGTTTCAACAGCATACTGTCATGCGCAATGCATCTTCCTGGTAGATTCTCATTGAGATAAGTCCACACAGTCAACTTAGTTTTTATACATTTTGTTAAAATTTGAGATCATTTGAGGGAGAATTGGCTATGTTATTAAGTGTTATATTGTCAATTTTTTTTTTGGGGTGGGGCATGTTGATTGAAGAAAAAAAAAGAAATAGTTTTGTTAAACAGAAATTGAGTGGTCAGAAATGGTGTGTGTAGCCACAAATAATATGTCAACAGGTTGTAGGTTAAAAGACAAGAAGGAAGAAATCACCTCAATGTCCAGGACAGAGTAAGAATATAATATATATATTGTCATCCACAGACAGATTGTTTCGCTGTATCACATCTCATCAGTATGGCTAGACGCCCAGTTGCCTCTAGGCAGGATCGAAACCCAGCTGAATTGGTGTCAGTCGGAGATTCTACCTCTAAACCGTTGCCGCACAGCAGGGATGAAGGTGAATTTAAGTGCATTTATTTTTAGATAAACCAACCAGACACTGAGAGAACTCGATTCGTTTTACTGAAGAATTTACATATATATAATTCTTGCTTATTTTAATTGTCAAATGTAAATTTTTAATTTTTAATTTAAAAAACTGTAATCCCAGTATAATATATAACTATGCCAATATATTATATTTCAGAATTGTGTAACAGTCAGTTCATACTCAACACCTGATGATTGCATCGTGCATGAAACTCATGCTGGTGGTGAGGGATAATATATATATATATATATATATATATATATATATACTAGCTTAAAAGCCACCCTATCAGGCAGCATTTAAGCTAACTCCTGCAAAGGGCTCTTGATTGGACCTTCATCATAATAGGTAGGGAGGAGTAGATGCGATTGGCAACAATAAACTACAGAAGAACACAAAATTGATCACTGCATTTAAGTACTGCCTTAATATTTAAGCTTATCTTTTAAAAGTTCAATGATAATTCTTCTGGTGCCACTAAATTTAAAGACAATTTGATGTACGTAGGTTTGTTATAGTCTAGAATGATGATAATATTTCATCATTCTAAAAATAACCTTGCCATCATTGATAATAGAAAAGAAGGATATTTTATCATCCTAACCCTCATCATTACAAAAACGACCCATCAACCACAAGAGAGTCAGTAGTGTAGACTAGGGTATCCATAGCAGGGGAGTAGACAAGTAGTGGTACAGAAACTCACGTCTTTACCAGCATTCTGTAAAAATAAAAAATAGACGATTTCAAATACCATCCTCACAAAAGAAATTCTCAGAACCAAACCAAGTAAGCACTGATTTTTAAACAAAAGATATACTGAAACCATTTTACACACACTATACCAATATTCTATAACTCACATCAGAAAAAGAAAATATAAATTCTTACTATTTATGTCAATACGTGTCTCAAGTTTTTATTGTTTATATTATTGTTGTACGTTTTAATTCATTTCATTTTCAGTATAAAAAAAAGGATTCCTCCTACACTACAAATACATATAGGAATGAGGTAATTACTTTAACAACACTCAAATAATATCAAGTCAGGATTACTACTACATCAACCCTAACTTACCTACCCTGTTGCAGGTCCTTACTTTTCGTACAAACAATTATTTTTACTTCATGGGTGACTTTCGCTGAATTTCACAATTCATTTCAATTATTCCCAAATTTATTTCCAGGATATAAAAATTGTTATCATACAAAAAAAAAAATTATCACAAAAAAATCAAGTAAAAAAATTGCTGAAAACAATCGCTGTAATGAAAACTTGGGAATCCAAAATTTCAGGATTGCGGGTCCAGATCTGGCCTGGAATGTTTTTAATTTGCCCATGGAGTCAGCCTGATTACAAAATGGTATGATATGTTGGACTAAATCCTCAAGGAGTAAAGTTGAAAAAGTCTGATGCAGTGATACACTGACATTCACATTTATTATATATATATATATGTATATATATATATATTATACGGGATCTATATATATATATATAGATAGATAGATAGATAGATAGATAGATAGATAGATAGATATAAAGTGAACATTGAAGTCAACACTTAGAGGCGATATGCTGTCTCATGCTAGACGCAATCATCAGGCCACGAAGCCTGACGATTGCGTCTAGCATGAAACAGCCTATTACCTCTAAGTGTTGACTTCAATGTTCACTTTTATATTTCCACACACTCTATCTCTGATATTGAGCACTTTATCCCATAAATATAGCACACCTTAAGACTATATTTCTTTATATATATACTGATGTTTCAACTTTCTCTTTACATTTCCTCTCTGTCTCATGTCATTGTTATTCCTTCTCTCTTCCTTTCTATCTTTTTCTAATTCTCTCTTCCTTTCTATCTTTTTCTAATTCTCTCTTCCTTTTTATGTGCCCATCACTCTTCCCCTGCCCCTCTTACTGCACTTCCATTTCTTTTCCTGTCTCTCATTCTACCCACATATTTTCTTTTCATTTTTGCTCTCTCTGTCATTATTTCTTCCTTACTATTTGCCCACGCATCCTTGTGTATCTCTCATCCCTTTGTCTTCAGATTCTTCCCATTTATTTATGGTTCCATTAGAAATAAAATACCTGCAAAAAGGTCAAGACTAAATGAAAATGGAACGGCTATTTTCAAGTACAAAGCAATTAAAACCTGTTTGCAGAAGAAGAAGTAAAAAACAGAATTAATCAAGTCAGACAAACAGAATCCGTGTCTTTTTTTAAAGCATTATTTTGATTTATGCTTTGTGACTGTAAGAACAAGAATGTAATATTGCCAGTTGAACGATAAGATATGAAGAGAATAAGATTAGATTTTAATTACAATAACAGAATGGTCATAATCACCTAAACTATAAGGGAGCTATTATGGAAAGGTATGCCAAGATACCAATTTTAATTTTGTTAGAGGCTTCATCTTTATTATTAATCATTGTAGACATTAGCTGTCTAAGATAAATACTGTATGTTGGTCTGCAGTTGGAGATTCGTCTCCAGCTGTGCTGGTCAAAATCTCTGCCTCCAGGTTGAAAGGATCCCCAAACGAGGCTATGCCAAAGGGCAGAGTCTCGTCTCGAAAAACAACTACACGACTCTGTTTTATACGGGATCTATAGGGAATTTTGGGGCAAGCCTACAGGCTCGGGTACCCCACATTAAATTCGGCCTTGCGCTGTATCTGACCATGTGGAGCAGGTGGTAGATATCCTGCAGTTGGAGATTCATTGTTGAATTCACTTGACTCACTTCTAGCAGTTGACTACTTCTTCTACACGCCACTAGTGAATCTTATATGTGTTGTTCTTGTCCTAAGTATTATCATTCACTACCAACCTTAATGTTATTATACTATTCACTAACCTTCCCTAGGTTACAACACAAAACATACAGATGCATGCTGGGATTTCTAGCCAATAAAATAGATGACTTCTGAGTCTCATTTGCCAGATTTCTGTTTTTCTTGTCTTTAAGTCAGAATGCTGCGATCACTTGTCTGTATCCCTTTTGTTGATTGTTTGTTTTTGTTTAGAGGCATGTCAACACTTCTATGGGTTAATTAATGCAGAAATCTAAATATTTTGTTTGCAATTTTTTTTTTTTTTTTTTTGGAGTGGGGGTAGAGATAATAATTGTTTTAGTGATACTAGTATTACTAACCCATAGCTTGGGGAGAGAAGAGGTGGGTTTATCCTGTCCATATTCACAATTTAGAAGAATATTAGTCAACACTACCTGTATAATTCACCAAGAATGTAATAAGTAGAAACTACAAATTCTTGAAACGATCTTTATTAAAAAATTAAAACCAACACTTAAAAAAATTAATTATGAATATAGTACAAATTTTCTGAAATGATAATAGTATATAGTTCTTTAGAAATATCTATGTTAAAAGTAAACAGTTTTTTTTTAAAAGAAGCAAACTATAACCTCTTAACAAGAATACAATTGTTAACTAAGTTACCTCCCTTACGTTAAAATTTTTACAAAATGGAAAATTTTTAAAATCACTGGTTGTAAATTTGCACATGACCAGATCTGTTAACGGTTTAACAACAAAAGCAAAAATTTACTCCGGACAAACACAATTATCTGTCATAGCTATTATAGCCCTGAAGATGATGTTTGAATATATCAAAAGTACTCAGAAAAATAAAATGAATATATATATATATATATATATATATATATATATATATATATATATTATATGTCTCACACTTATACACGCACCCATACTAATATATATACACATAATACACACTCCCAAGGAAAAAATGATAACATACACTTAACATGCACACAATAAAACCAATAAAACTGTTAAAATGACCAAGAGAATTCTGAGTAACATGAACCTATTCAGCCGCTATCTTAAAAACAAATTAAAAGATGCCGTTTGACCAACACCAAGGACTGACCAAAATTAACGATAAAAAAAAAAACAAATGAAAACTACAGATAAAATTCATTTTCTTCAGAAAGTCATTCATTCTTAAAGTTCTCTGCTACTAACAAGCAGGAATATTTTTCTCCTGATGTTGGCTATGCTGACCAAAACTTGTTGAGGAACCTAATTGAAATAATAAAACCCCAAAATATTAATATACAACCCAGTGTATCTGGAAATTTAAATTTTTTTAAAATTTCTTAATTTTTCAATATTTTTATTGTTCAAAACACACACACACACACACAAACACACACACACACACACACACACATATATATATATATATTGGCCTATCTTTTGTTTCCCTTAATCTTTCTTATAACCCCAATTTGAGGTTTTAAGGTTAATATCTGGGTTGAATTTGTGTAGCTTCTTTCCCTTTAAGACAGATAACTTCCGCCCTCCCCTTACCACCACTTGGGTATTCTGTCCTGTCTGCTGTGTTATGGGTTAGCTCTCTATCAATTTTTCAACTGCTATCTTTGTTAAATATTAAATTTTAAATCTCTATTTCCGACACTGAATACAGTCCACCGTCTGAGTTGAATAAGGCTGATGCATTTGGCGTTAGTTGAAATAGTCTATACTCATTAGTAATTTTTGATTTCTCAGTTATATATATATATATATATATATATATATATATATATATATATATATATATATATGAGCATAGGCATCCAAAATAGGTGCTTTATGGACAACTACCAAACTTCAAACATTCAGCTACAAAGACAAATTGAAAGACAACTTGAAATGTCTCAACTTTGATTTGAAAACCTGGGAAGCCCAAGCATCGAACTGAAAGGAGTGGCATAAGACATGTTTCATTAAGTTAAAGAGTTTTGAAGACAGTAGAATGAAGCACCGTGATCAGCTTCGTCAAGCTCTGAAGCAGAGATGCCATCAGAATCCTGCTTTAACACATTTCATCTGTCAGTGTGGCTTTGTTGCCCACAACAAGGCTGGGCTAGTATCACACTTAAGAAAGCACCAATGAAATACGTCTTTCCCTGACCTGATTTGCTTTACAATAGCTCCTGCTAGAATGCATAAGTGTAAAAACGAAAAACACCATCCAATGCTGACCCTCATTTATCATTGACGATAGGAGAGTCCAATATATATATATATATATATATATATATATATATATATATATATATATATATATGAGAAAGGGAGAAATAGACATACTGCTTTTATGAAATTGTTTGTTTTGTGAAAAAATATAAACTAATTTCAATCCATTTGCCAAAGATGCTGAACAATATTCCATAAAGATCATTAATTATAATATTTTTCATTGTCAACTATCATTTCTTCCTTCTTAATCTTAGTCAGTAGTTGTATTGATCAAAACTAAAATAAAATTAAACTAAGTTTCAAGTAAGACTCAAACTCACAACCATTTATTTCTTATTAAATCAAATTTATTACGATGTGAATCATTGTTATTTATTATTTTGATGATCTATTTTTTTATTGCATTTTTTTCCTTCATCTTACTTCTCTGGATATCGTATCAAGTACTAATAGTTCTACTTGAATTTCTTAGATGAAGTCTTGTCAATTATTATTCATTTTTGACTAGTATTTCTTTCATCTTATTTCTCTTGCTTTTCTACCAAGTAGTAATAGTCTTAAGTTGTCTGAATTTCTTAGATGAATCCTTGGCAATTATTATTCATTTTTGACTAGTATTTCTTTCATCTTATTTCTCTTGCTTTTCCACCAAGTAGTAATAGTCTTAAGTTGTCTGAATTTCTTAGATGAAGCCTTGGCAATTATTATTCATTTTTGACTAGTATTTCTTTCATCTTATTTCTCTTGCTTTTCCACCAAGTAGTAATAGTCTTAAGTTGTCTGAATTTCTTAGATGAAGCCTTGTCAATTATTATTCATTTTGACTAGTATTTCTTTCATCTTATTTCTCTTGCTTTTCCACCAAGTAGTAATAGTCTTAAGTTGTCTGAATTTCTTAGATGAAGCCTTGGCAATTATTATTCATTTTTGACTAGTATTTCTTTCATCTTATTTCTCTTGCTTTTCCACCAAGTAGTAATAGTCTTAAGTTGTCTGAATTTCTTAGATGAAGCCTTGTCAATTATTATTCATTTTTCACTAGTATTTCTTTCATCTTATTTCTCTTGCTTTTCCACCAAGTAGTAATAGTCTTAAGTTGTCTGAATTTCTTAGATGAAGCCTTGACAATTATTATTCATTTTTTTGACTAGTATTTCTTTCATCTTATTTCTCTTTCTTTTTCCACCAAGTAGTAATAGTCTTAAGTTGTCTGAATTTCTTAGATGAAGCCTTGTCAATTATTATTCATTTTTGACTAGTATTTCTTTCATCTTATTTCTTTTGCTTAATGTAATCGCACAACACCCTCCCCAGTCATCCAAGACTTCCAACACTGCTGCTGGTCACTGAAGTGACTGCTTCAATCCAGAGCTAACCTGATCCCACATTGTGATTTAAGGTTAATTATAAGGCATCTAAGTTCTAATCGTCGCAGGTATCTTCACGTTGGGCTGGTCCAAGCAGTTCAATGATGTACAAGCAAAACAAAAATAACACGCGAATAAATTGAACAAAAATAGTGTTTTTATATCAGTCCTCCATACAATAATTGTTTTATATCAGAGTTCACATGGAATTAATTATCAGCCCAACCCATGTCTAAATCAGAAGAGATATTATTGTTGACCTGGCAAAATCTGGTTTGTTGTTGTTGGTAAAGTTTGGCACAAGGCTTAAGTCGAAGGCTTTCGTCGGCAGATAATCATGTGGGCTTCTCTACTGTCTCAGGTATCGTCTCCAGCTCTTCTGCATCTCTTCTCTCTTCTGCTCCTTGTCTACTCACTAGTTCGTTTCGCGCATTCATATTTATGGACATTCGCCCAAATTGGTAGGAGCATTTCAGTGAATTCCCTCCGGCTTACATCATAACTTTGGGAAATCCCCTCTCTCCACTCTCTCTTTTATTGTCTTCTCTCACTAACCTCTTCAGTATGCGTGGGTGATTCTTCCATCCTCCTTGATGTCTTATCTGCGCCTACTACCCCGACCATTTTCCATCCAAGAAAACTCAGTTCCAAATTCAGTTGTTTACTTTTTCACTTTCCAGCCCACATTTGCAGCTGTGTTTCAATCAACAGCCCCCCACCCAAGTCCGGGTCACTTTTCCATTGTTCAAACTGCTCGACATACAATTCAAGTCATTTATACATGAATTAAATCTTCACTTCTTCCCACAGGTTTTTGGTATTAGCCCTTCTCGTTTCAATGTCTCTTGGTCCATAATAATTTATGTTTTAACAAAACTTTCTTCAATTTTAACACGGCAACAACAAATATCTTAGACTAGTATTTCTTTCAATATACTTCTCTTGCTTTTCTTCCAAGTATTCACAGTACTGTTTGAATTTCTTAAATGAATTATTGTCAATTATTATTTTTGTCTTATATTTCTTTCATCTTATCTCTTGCTTTACATAATTCTACAGACTAAAAAAATAAAGTATAACAACCAAGACATTCTGTAAGAATAAGTTTAACAATATATAAAAACGTTTGTTCCGAAAGTAAATGAGTCCATGTCTAATAATTTACTAAAACAAAATTTTTCATTTTCTAAATTTAAAAAAGGGCCCTTATTGTATTATACAATAATCAAACAAGACTCTAAAATAGTTATTTCCCTTTTAAATGGCGTCAAATTCAGGGGAGGTAAATTTTTATTCACAGCCTCGGTTGCTCCCCTTTAATTTTTTATTACATTTTCTTCTTTTTTTTTTAAATGCTGTTTTAATAAGTAACTTTCTTCAGAATAATTTTTGTTCATGTCTGTATTTTTCTTTCTGCACAAACTATGTTTCAGCAATGGACGAGCCAGCCAAGAAAACCACACGCAAAGAAATTTACTTTGTGCTTCTCATATTAGAAATATTTAATATTAGATTGGTCCTGATGTAGTACCTTGGCTTCAGTCACTTTCACACCACCATAACATGGCTTCCGTCTGTCTTTTCTATAAATATTTCCATGACAAATGTTCTAATGAGCTTTCTCCCTTACTACCTCAACCACATGAATTTAGATGTCATATTAGATTGGCAGATAGGTCTCATTGTTTAACAGTTGATCTAGCTAGATGTAACCGTAAGTTCTTTTCTAATAGTTTTTCTCGCTTGTGAAACTCTTCCAGTTTCTTGTTTCTCTGTTACCTGCAACTTTCAAAAATTTAAATGCAATATCAATCGCCATCTTCTGTCCTCCTGAATCCTGTTCTTTTTATTGTCTTTTCTCCTCATTAGTTTTCTCAATCTCTTTCACTCTCTTTTTGTCTTAGTGGCATTATCACCTTTCTGGGAGTGAAATGATTAAAAACAAAAATTAATTCAATATGATTGTGTCTAGTTGTATTGACTTCCTGACCAGTCACGCACTTAAAAATGGAGCTAAGCACTTTTCTATTAAATATTCATGTGCCTTTTATGTCTACTACCACGTCCATACCCCAGGTATAAAGAAACAATGTATCAAATAATCAGTCTACAGTCCATGTAGATGCAATAAGAAGTCTTCCTATATCTAATCTATTTCCTGTTGTATGAAAAACTGTGGTCATTAGAAGAAACTGGACAAAAAGAAAGGAAAAAACATTTTATAAAATGTTACATATTTGTGGAATATGAAAATTTGGGATTTACACTTTATCCGCTTTTTTCTTTCCTTGTTCTTTGTAGATGAGTTGAATATTTTTACAACCCAGATTTTTATCCCTTTGACCTTCCATAACTTAGAATTTCAAATCAAACACTTTATTCAATTCAGAGGTAAACTGTTCTCATTCTTCTTTCCCTGCTTAGAGGATACATATTATTTAGTATTTCACAAAAGACACATGACTAAGTGAATTAAACTATTGGTTAAAACATGGTTGTGGATCCAATCCTCAGGTTTGCCTGAGCTCCATTTCAGTGGAAAAAACAAATAAGTGACACAAAGAAAAATCCTTTTGGATAGCAGTGAAAAAGAGATGCTAAATGTCCCTAACATTGTAGCCTACTTGCATATAATTCTGATTGTTCTTTAGTATGTGTTATACTTTTCCCATTCCTTAAATAAACAGTAGGTCATTTTTATAATAGCTTGCCTGTCTCCTGTCCAGAAAATGAGAAAAAAAAAAAAAAAAAAAGGCATATCAAAGGTACTGTTTGACAAGAAAGCAATAAAGCAAGCAAGCAAGAAAGAAATGGACAAAGAAAGAAAGAAAGAAACAAACTCTGTTTCTTTCTTGCTTGCTTGCTTTGACCCAGACTTCTCACCAATCTCAATGAACAGATCTACCTTTAGGAAGCCCAGTGCCTTGAATACCCAAACTCAGCCCAAACCTCAAATGTGTAGCAGAATATACGTGTGTGAACAAAAAAAAAAATATTCAAACATAGATCTATAAATTTTAATAATTTTTATTTATTTGAGTCTTATTTTTCTTTCAAATTGAAAGAAATGAATTACAAAGTTTCCTTGCAAACTTCATACAAAATGTTTTATATATCTTTTTTCTTTTAACAGTACAACTGAATGAATTGCATTAGTATAGGATAAATAGAAAATGTGTCTATATGTGTGCAGATGTATGTGACACAGGGCTACATTGTTTTCACTGTGTATAAATTCCAGCAGTAAACCACATGAAATAAAGACCAGAAGTTAGTTACTACTGTCACTACATGTAAACAAGTTAGTGGAAAGTCATCTATCACAACTAAGACCTGCCATGCCACACACATTGTAGCGGAACATCCTCATTCTTTTTGTATCCCATTGGTGAGATGTAAATTTTACTCAAGCAGCTTCTTCCTACAAACCACAGCTCTATGAAATGACTCCCAAGAGGATGCTTCCCTGGTCACTACAATGTTGATCTGTTCAAGTCTTAATCTGGGCAACCTACAGAGAATTCTGAACCAAACACTTTATCTATGGAGGTAGACTGTTCTCGTTCCACTGCCCATGTCCAGGCATATATCTTATTTATAGCATTACTCAGTTACTGCTTGTCCGTCCATCCCCCCCCACTGAGTCGAAATACACACTACCCAGCCCAGAGATTGAGTTCAAAATCACTCATACCTGCAAAAAAAAAAAAAAAAAAAAAAAAAAAAGTCAAAAGAACAATTTTTCTCTGATCATTACTTTTACTTTAGAAACCCTCAACAATTTTTATGATTTTAAAAAAAGTTATTTTTAATAAAAACCTAAATATATAATAATTGTATATTCACATTCTTTTTTTTCCAAATTTACAACAAAAGAAATAAACATTATTTACTTTATTAGATTGTCTATAAAAATATTTGCACCAACTACAATGCAATATTTATAAAACTGAGCTTTTAGAACATAAAAATAACTTTTTTTTGGGGGAATGTGAATATTATATATATATATATATATATATATATATATATATATATATATATATATATATATATATATATATTTGTAATAGCCTTTTCATCTTGTACACAACTGTTTTTTTTTTTTTTTATTCCAACATTGTCAAGTTTAATGGAAATAATTTCAAGTCAGTCAAGGTGACGTCATATAAACAGTCAAACTGAAAAGTTTGGGTTTTCTTTTGGGGTTTTTTTTTTTAAAAAACACCTCAATATACATTTTATATGACGTCATAACATGAAAAAAATCAAATAAAGATAAAAATACAAAAGAAAATTTATTTACAAAAGAAAAAAAAAAAGGTGAGTAATAAATGATAATAAAACTGTGTTTTATTCTTAGTAGAAGGCTTCTTCATCTGGGTTGAATTGTAAAAAAGTCAGGTCAATATGTAAATGTTGCAATAAACCAGAGAGAGAGGGTTTTGGCTCGGGCAATTTTTGATGAAGATCTAGCAAAACCTGTTGACTCACTTCTCGCCATTTTATAATCAAATCATCCAAATTAGAAAGGTCATTCTACAAAAAGAAAAAAAAAGAAAATAATGTAATTAAGCAACTTGAAATTTTAGAGAGAAAGAAAAAAACAGTTTCAATGTTTTGTGAAAAACTAATTTGAATTGTTATAAATATTCTTTAAAAACTTTAGAGCATATTTTTATCTTGAAATAAAATCTTAAATTTTTTTTCTTTTTTCACCCAATACAAGGCTCAAAAGCCTCTCAAGGTAGAGGGTTACTGAATGAAGTCATTACTTTTATGGATGTAAGACAAAGGACTTAAAGAGTCTAAATTACGAGGATAGTTAAAACACATAACGGTTAATCCTAGACTTGGAGAGGTTAAAATTGTTGTGATCAGGGAAGCATCCTCTTGGGAGTCTGTTCCACAAAATAGTGGCTCTCGGGAAGAAGGTGTTCAAATAGAACTTTTTTCTTACTAATCAAATATGAAGGGAGTAAATTGATCCTGTACCAATGCTATGATTGGTCTTAGCTGTAAAGGTTTGAAATAGAAATGGGAAAAATACAATAGAAGCAACATTTGATCCATAAACCCATGAAACTCATCAGTTTAGGCAGACTCTTTTGATTTGTAATGGAAAAATTTTTTTTTTTTAATACAGATTGGTGACAAATATTTTTAAAGTGAATGAACACTTTCATCATCAAAAAAAAAGATTATGAAAAAAAATTTTTTATTTAAATGTTTTTTTTTTAAACTTATGTCCTGGTTGTTAATAAAAGAGTCTTGACTTTGTTATTGGGTTTTGGTTCAAATTTTACTGATCATGCATTTTTCTCCCGTTTTTCATAATCCAATTGGTTTACCTATACTGTGAAAAAAAACAAAAAAAAACAAAGGAAATTATTTAATTAATGTTGCCAATTAAACTTTGCTTATAAAATAATTTTTTACTGGCCATGAATTTTTTTATCTGTTCTTCATAATCCAATTACTTTACCTGTACTGTAGAAAAAAAAAAAAGTAAAACAAAAACATAATGGAACTATTTAATTAATTCTGAATTCTGTGATTGCATTGTGCTTATAAAATATCAAAGATCCCATATAATTCTTCATTTTCTTAACAGATTTAAATTTGAATGATTTAAATCTGACAGAATAGTAAAACTTTTATTTTAGTCTGTTTCAATGGTCAAACAATGTTATTAGAAAAATGGACTTTTTTTTTTTCAACCAAATAAACATTGATTCATATTAGCCATATGAAAGATTTTTTTTCTTTTACTCTAGCAGTATAACCCATCTTCAACCGGGTCTTTCATTACTGGGAATTTTTGCCATTCAATTGGAGCAGTTTAAGTTTAAAGTCAGCCCACCCGAAAATCAATATTAGTAACAACAATTGGGGGCAACTGAGGAACATCCCCAAATGGGGGGGGTAACAATTTGAATGGGGTGGCAGCTCAGAAAAGGGTGGTTTTGCATTCTCAATCTTGTTTCAGCCTCACGCACAGCAGCAGTTGAAGAGGCATTTCTCCTCAGCCATTGAATCTTTTGATCATCATTTTTAGCCTCACGTGCAGAAGCATTCAGATGAAAACTGTGGAAACACATAAATAACATCCAATCACATGCACGCACACATTTTGAGAATTATAGATATAGATAATATTATTGTAATAATTTAAACTATTTTTATTAAAGTTCTTATGAAAGATATATATCCAAGAATAGATAGTAAACAGTAAAACATTGCTGAGAATTATAATGGACAGGAAGTAATGGAGAGCCATTGTCACCAACAATTTGAACTCAAAAGCAGCACTGAAGAATTATCTATCAAACAAAAAAAATATTTCATCAGTCAGATGAAAACTGTGGAAATGCATAAACATCCGATCACACACACACACACACTTTGAGAATTATAGATATAAATATAGATTTTATTAATTTCAATTTGATTTTTTAATATTTATCTAAGAATAACTTACATACAAGGTTTGACCAAAAAGTATCAGGACTGATGATATATAAAAAGAAAACTACACACGTAACAATTAAGCAATTAATCTCCATCAAATTAGTCCCCTCCTGAAGTCATACACTTTATCCAGCATCATTTCCAATCATGGAAGAAGTCCTGGAGCTCCCTTTTTGGAATAGCAAGCAGTTTTCTTGCTGCATTCTCTCGAAATTCTTCAAGATCTTGAAATCTTATCCCTTTTAAGTGTTGATTTGATTTTTGGAAAGAGGAAAAAGTCGTATGGGGCAAGATCTGGGGAATATGGTGGTTGTCAGACTTGGGGAACTATGCAGGGCCAAAAACTGCTACTCGAACTGTGTTGTATGGGCAGATGCATTGTCATTGTGGAGTTGTCATTCACCAGACACATGTGATTCTGTCCTTTTACAACAAACAGCATCCTGTAAATGTCACAAAACATCATGGTAGTACTCTTTGTTTACTATTTGTCTACATTTCTGAGATGAGGTGTTATGTAAATAGTATCTTTGTTTACTGCCTGACCCAGGTGGAGTATACTCATGATGAACAATGCTCTTGTAGTTGAAGAAAACTGTCAACAGTGTCTTCACATTGCTTTGACTCATTCATGCTTTCTTTGATCTCAGAAAGGGTGAAGTCTTAAACTGCAAAGACTGAGCCTTGGTTTCACAGTCATAGATCCACAATTCATCACCTGTTATGACTGATGTCAAAATGTTTTCTGTGTTGTGGCGAGACAACCACACACTACACACTTTCCTTCCAAGCACTGCTATAAACAATGGAAGCAAGCAAGAATGTTAACTTATGTGTGACTCCAAGGTCAATCTGTGCCTCGTGATTTCAATCTGTGCATTTTAGCTCTGTTACCAAAGCAACATTCCAGATACTTTCTGATCAAACTTTGTATTACAAGATTTCTTTGTATCTCACATTGTTTCAACACTAGGTTAGTAAGAACAAATGACAGATTGAAGCTGGTCACATATTACAAATCCTCTGTAGTTAATATACAACTGGACTTCTTCAGTCTATCACCTATTCTTACCAAGGCTGTTGAATCAGAACACAAAACATCAGATTCCGACTCCTTTATTTTTGATACCTCTGACTCCTCATGTAATTAAGTGATTATGGCCTACTAATCTCATAAAGCCTATGCATACACTCCTAACTTGAATAGGCCTTTATCATTAGAACTGGTTTATATCAAAGAATAAAGAATATTGTGGCTTTTATATCATACCTATTCATCCTTCACAGAATTAGAGACAAAATCTTTGAAAGGATATAGAAGAAATTAAAAAAAAATAAATAAAAATGCTATAATGTAAGACTTTTTACATATATATCTCTTTGCAAATAAGAAATAAATAGAGAACAAATATAAAACTACTTTATAAAAAAAGTTGAAACAATCTTTTACAGGATGTAAAAAGATAACAAAAATAAAAATTCTATAATGTAAGATTTTTTTTATCTATATAGTTTTGCAAATACAATATAACTACAAAAATGACTTTAAAAAAGAAGCTGAGATGAATTTCTTTAAAGGAAATAGTCAATATACAGTAGAAGAAATAAAAATAAAAATTTTATGACGTAAGACCTTTTATGTAAAGTATAAATTCAGCGGGAGTCTGTATAGTTTTATCGACTCCAGTGACCCCTTAATTGCTTCAATTCCAACTCCACAGCCATATTAAACTGGTGTTGAAACAATATGGGATGTTAAAAATTTTAAAACAAATATGTCAATAAAAACTAAGTCGAAATTAGTAAAATATAATTTAAAAAACAATACAGTTAAGAAAAAAAAATCCCGCATTCATATGAGTAACATTACATTCTGTCTTGCCAATGTAAATTTGATTGAAATAAAATCCATTTTTTTCTAATGATGTTGTGTGATCAGTGAAGCATACAAAAGTAAATGTTTTCCAAATTGTCTTATAACCATTTTCTAGTTCATGTTCAATATTTTATGAACATCAACATTTTATTCACCAGTGAATAATTATGAAGTTCTATTTATTAAATATAAACTATTTATATACATGGATGATTATCTAATAAATCATTCCTCCTGAGTATAGCAGATAATGAAATTGAACATAGAATAGACTGAACTTGGGATAGTTTTATCCAACATCACAAATTGCTACAAAACCAACACATTAACCTAAAAACTCAAGTCATGTTCTTCAATGTTCTCATCAGATCACAACTTTCGTATGGTTGCCCTGCATGGTACCAAACTCCTTAAGAAATATCTAAACTGTCAGATGTATATAGCTGTAAATGAGGAGTGTCTTTTTTTTTTTTTTTTTTTAACTTCATAGGCTGGTATGAGAGAATCACAAAGAAAAAACTGTACCAAGTAACAAAAACTATATCTCTAGAGGTTTATTAAAATCAAAAATTAAAATCAACAGCACATTTAACTCAAAGAGAAAATAATGTTGACACTCTACACTACTGCAGACAAAAGGTTAGGAAGGAAACTCCCTTCAATACTGGAAAGAGCACTAACAATTTGTGGACTTGAGAAAACTATTTTCCTGAAAAATTGTTTTAGGAGAAAGATTTTATAAATTTCAGCCAACAGTAGTGATATTTATTCAATGAATTCTAAACATTTCTATATAAGGAAACGGCTAATATTGTCATCACAGATACTACACTTTGATCCCAACCGAATAGCCAGGGAGTGAAGAAAAATGTAACTAATAGCACTGGATGCTCAGTTAATAAATGTCAAATTGAAATGGCTAATATTACCATTAGAAATTAGAACAGATACTATACTATGGCCCCAGCCCAATGTCCAGGGAGTTAAGAAAAGTTGGTATCACATAAGTATGTGATCTACTTTCTCGCAGTACAATGTATCAGTAAAGTATGTGGTCTACGAGTTAAGAAAATTCTCTACATTAAAATATACATTAAAAATAGATATATACGGAATACAAGAAAAAATATTAGTAGTATTTATTTAATATACTATTATAATATACTAAACAAATAATACCATATGATAAAAAAACTAAAAGAAATTATTATTTTAACTAATACTATCACTGTCTAAGCAGTTTGAAAATCATTCAGAAATACAATAATAAAATTTTGGGTACTGAACACAATTTTTCCAGCAAATAAAATCTGGACGAGTTTCTAATGTTTTGCCACTTAGGTGTTACTTAAGTTGTACATGTAGATAATTTTCTTCAAGGTAGATCATATATTTAAGAAGCATCATGCACGAAGCTCATATAATTAAGTAGCCCCAAAAAGTTTAACTCAAGTAACACTGGCTCCTCAGTTAATGAATGCCAAATGTTTCCTTATAAGGAATTGGCTAATATTAACATTAGAGATGAGAACAGATGCTACAATTTGATCCCAAAGAGTGAAGAATACCATAACTTGATAAGCACAGGCTCCTCAGTCAAAGAATGCTGAATGTTTCCATAGAAGGAAAAGGTTAATAATACCAATACCATTATTGTATGTTAACATTGTTATTCAGATATTCACAAAGTTAAATCTTTTTAAATACTTTCAATTTAAAAAGTTATATGGCGTCATGCAAAAACAAAGAACTGATGTCTGTTCAAAATTCTTGTAGAATTGTCTCAAAGAAGATAGCAATGAATATTAAATATAAAGAAATAACAAGCAAAAAGTTTTTTTCCAATTTAGACTGAATTACCTCCCTTGTACCTGGAGAGATTTTCCAAGGCAATACCTATAACTTCAGATTTATCTTGGACTGTGCCAAAATTAAGCAAAACTTAATAAGGAATGGCATATAGTCAAAGTCACTAAGAAAGAAACAGTTCTTAACTAATAATCAAAGTTAAGCAACATCAAATCTGATCAGTGCTTAAATGGATGATCACATAGGAATATCACGTATTGTTCACAGCTTGTAACATTGTGCCAGATTATGCAAAGCTTACTTATCTATAATGGTTAAAATACTGTATCTGCAATATTGTTAAATGTTCCAGATATGTAGCCTTGTAAAATCTAAACATGCTGTGATTTTAATTCAGTATACTCTTTGTCATTTTGTTACCAAATGTCTTTTATCAAATCTACCCTATTTTCTTGTGTAGAATACGAGAAATTTTGAACAAAAATTAAAGGCAAAAAGGCAGGGGGGTGCATATCATACATAAGTTCATGTTTTCAGAAATTTTTACTCAGCTTAAAAAAAAAAACTCTTATTTGAAACACCAAGATTGCAATTGCATTCAGCACACTAGACAGTAAAACACAAAGTAGGCAAGTGTTAATAACAATTGTTTGCAAAAAGTATTTGATATGTCAGTAATATTTGTTCTTTGGGAATCAGCATAATTGAATGTCTTTTGTCTCAGTTTTGCTCACAAGATAAAGTTTATTTTATATTTTGATTTTATTGGTTTATTCATTCTAAACAAAAGACTTTTTTCATAGTTTATTAAAATATAATCACGTCATAAGAAACAGAAAAGTATGATAGATTAATTAACACCTTAAAATGTATTACCAGGTAGGTCTAGTTAACAGTTTTTCCCAAAAATAAGTTTTGAAATGGGAATTTAGTGAAGAAATGGCTAAACATCCAATTCATTTCTATTCTGAATATTTCATATGTTATCATGAAAAATTAAATATTTTAGTGAAATATGTATGAAATTGAAATTTTTAATAGGTAATATGGTACAACTTATCAAAAAAAATTTATTTAGGGATGGCTGTACTAAAGAGTCATATTATACTCAAGGATGTAATTTATTACTTGTTTTTAGCTTCAGAAACATGGGGGTTACACTCATGTTGTATAACACACTAGAAAATACAATATTCAGGTTTTTTTCCTTTCCAATAATATAAAATGTTTATTTTGCTTTGTTAAATAAAAAACACTGAATTTTTAGACTGACCTTTGACCTGTACAACTTCACCATCCTAAGTTTTCGCAAACATTCCTCTTTGTCTTTCAGCTGTTTTTGCAGCTGAAGCTTTTTTGCAACCAATTCTTCACAAGTCAAATTCTCTGGAATAACCTCTGCAGAAATCTCATCATTTGGGACATTGTCTCCTGACAGCGAACACACACCCGACACAAGAGGCAATTGATGCTTCTCGGGACTTTTGATGTTCTCACATTCTCCATCTCCACATGCACTTATCTGTAAAGTGCTTTCTTCCAAAAGAGGAGTATTTAATGACAGAGTTTCTTGTTGGGGAAGATTTCCATCACCCTCTTCTTGCATGCTATCAGGAATATCCCCAGATAAGAGTTTTGCATTAAAGCAAGTATGAGAACTTAAACGCAACCTCTTTACTCTTGGGTGTGAACCTTGGAGATCTTTGGCTTTCAAAACCGGGGTACAAGAAAGCGATGCAGAGTCATCAAAACTAGAATTTCGATGGTCTTCACTAGACGAAGGAGTCAGAATTGAATTGGGCGGAGTTTCATAAAAAGGCCTGTTGATAGTTGGGGTGCTGCAATTCAAGTTTAGAGATGATGGTGATGATGTAGAATCTGGTGAAGGGAGAAATCCAGTGTCAAGTTTTGGCATCTTTGTGGTCATCGGTGAAGAATAATATCTGCCACATCGCTTCAAGCGTTCTTTCAAAGATGCACTCATCTAAAAACAAATGAAAATAAAATATTACTTCATTTAAAACAAACTGAAAATAATTCATTTCCCTACCAATCATCAAAATTTACATTACAAGGGTCAGTTAAAAAGTAATGCCTGCTTTAAAAGTATTACTCCGAATTTTTAAAGGTATTTTTAGCTATAAACCATAAAGTGTCTATAAGCCCAGAGAGAAACTTTGTGGGGTTATCGTCTGTTTTCCTACCTAGAATTCTCTTTCAAAATAGCTGTCCATCTGGGCACACAAAGAAAGCAAATAGCTATCATAGAATTTCCATTTTTTAAAAAGAAAATACTGCAAACATTCACAGGAGGTCAGTGAATGTTTATGGAAAGGCTGCATTTAATGTAAGCATAGTAAGATTTACATAGAAAACTGCCGCCCCACTAACTTTAATTAAAAAAAAAAATTGAAAAAGAGATTATTTCTGGTCACAGAACCTATTGTACAATTCCACCCATAATACATGCATGATTGTCAATATCATTAGTTGACATCAAAAAAGTAAGCACCTTCCAGAGCAAAATATTCATCTGCAAAAAAAAAATAAATTAAAATATTATTATGGATTACTTGTAATTGCATGCATGAGTCCCAGTATAATTATTGACTGATTTTATCATTGTGATATTTTTGTATTATATCAAGTATTAAGAATATAGTAACTAGGCTCTGCAAATTGGAGGAGAGAGTTATCAATGATAATGTTCTGACTTCAAATCTGCAGTTATCTCTCTTTAACACTCTTTCTCTGGTTTTTATTTTTAAATATACTTTTTATCACATACAGTTTGGTGAGGCGTGAGCAAATTTTCATTCCAAAAACACAGCCCTGAGGAAAAAAAAAAGTTTCAGAGCCACTGGCTTAGACAGTTATATATGCCAAGCTGGCACTAGAGGTTAGTGTGAAAACCAACATTACAAATGCTGATTTTCAAAGCAGGCAGGCTCACTGTACTTAGACGATTGATACAGCACAATCAGAAGCTCATTTAGCCTCGTGTCAGATTAGGCAAAGATTAGTAAATATCTACTATTTATGCTTATGTACATTGACTGTTGTCCTCATCTTTGTTGTTATATTCACAACATTTCAGCCACTGTACACTCTGGCCTTCTTCCAGTGATTTGAATTTTGAACTAAACCCTTTATTTCGCCCACTAGGTTGATTATTCTAAGCAGGCTGGTACATGAGCATACGCTGTAGTCACAATGTGTTTGATATTATAGCAATGATAATTCTAATATAAACCTCATAAATGCATGTTTAATTTGAATACTCACATTTCTAATGAGAAATTGTTTCATATAAATAAAGGAGTCATTATTCCAAGTATGGATTTGCTATGCTATACTGTTCATTTTGTCAAACTCTTACTGGTTTATCAATCATTGTGGTCTCTTCCTGACCACTTTCATTGTCTATCTTTACATCAATAAACACTGATCAAGAACATCTGTTTGAAATTGTAGAGTATAAAGATCCAGCTTTTGTTTGGTATCATGGCCTTTCATATCATTTGGAACAGCAGTGTCAATTATAACAGAAATCAACTCCAAAAACACAGTAATCAAAGCTTCTTGCTTATGAGGAAAAATTTCAGATTACAAGTCTATCCTATTAGTATCATATAAATTATTTTTTTTTTATTCCAATAATGATTGTTTCTTCAAACTGAGATATCATGAACAGGATTTATTAATACATTGAACCACAAGACAACTCCTGGTACCTAGTGTTTAAGGCAAGAGTGAAAATTGTACTGGTAACTAAAAACAAACTTTTTATGAGAAAATTTCATTGAAAATATAACATGTAAATGAAACATTTGAAAAACAACAGAATTGCCCAATCAGCAAACTAGTTGGCATTTAAAGTCAGATGCCATTATAGGCCTCTGACAGCCAACATGTTAAATTAATCATTCTTATTTTATTTTTCCTTTAATATTATGTATAAAATTTAAAAAAAAAAAAAAAAAAACGATTCATTTCTAACAACACTTAATAAAAATGAACATGCTACAGTCCCTGTTTGAATGATTGGATTCCTCTGTATCCTTGGAAACAGTAAATTATGAATTTATGTGCGTTTAAAACTCAGTAAATTTAAAAATAAGTTATTCCAATATTTACATGAAGATGAAACAGAACTAATGCTTTCAATTTAATTATATAATTAAATTTAAAGTTTTTAGCTTCCATTTTTGAAACATGGTTATTACTGTGTAGCGAAAAACCATATTTTAAATCAGTTAATTTATAATAATATATATATATATATATATATATATATATATATATATATATATATATAAAATGGACTCTCTCGTTGGTTTCGAAGTACGTGGATCTGACAACTTAATTGATTCAATTATAAAATTTTGTGCGATAAACTTAAGTGGCAATTAAGACCCACTAGTGAATTACAGAGGAGTCCACATATGGAGCAAGAGTATATATATATATATATATATATATATATATATATATATATATATATTGAAGAGAGTTTTTTGTCCAACATTATTTCTTATTGTTAGTGGGTACAAATGTTTGAAATTATAGAGTATAAAGAGACAGCTCTTGCTTGGTATAATGAGCCTTCATATCATTTGGTGTAGCAGTGTGAATTACAATAGAAACCAACCCTAAAAACACCAAAAATCAAAGCTTCTCATTTATAATGAAAGATTTCAGATTACAAGTCTGTCCTATCAGTATCATATTAATTATTCTTTTATGGTTATAAAAATTCCAATAATGACAAACTATTTCTTCGGACTGAGAAATAATGAATAGGATTTATTAACATATTGACTGATAATACTTGATTGGCAGTTTTTATTAAGATGCTGGCCACAAAGTTACCTTGTTTTTGTGGTCTTGTCATCAAGGCTACAATCACAAGTTTTTTTTTGTTGTTTTTAACGCCTAAAAAGTGGTATCTAGCATCTAAGGCAGGAATGAAAAATTGTACAAGCAACTAAATTACAAACTTTTTATGAGAAAAAAAATGTATTAAAAATATAACACATAAACAAGACATTTGAAAAGCAACACAAGTGTTCAATATCAAAAACCAGTTGCTCAATGGTGATTTTGAGAGAGAGTTTGTCTTCACAAACAGCAAAAAAGTAGTGTGTTTCTCACTGTACTTTGTTTTTTTTTACACAAACTGTACAGATTTTGGTTGGACGCAGTTTCTTCTCAGATGATGGTATAGTTCCTAAATAATTCCATGGCTCATCATCTGTTCGGGGACAGTTTGTGTTATTTGGTAGTTGATCACCAAACAAACATTTCCCAAATTGTGCAGGGATAGTTTTACTGTGAAAAAAATGTTAAGAATTCAGTTGAAGCTATAAACTAATCACAAAAATGTTTATTGCTTAAGTTGGCTATTATAAAGTCAGTGTTTGAGGTCAGATTTTGTAATTGACCTCTGGCTGTCAACAAGCTAAAAAACATCAAAAGTTTCAATTGCTCTAATGATTATAGCTATAGTAACCCAGCAAATGCTAAGAGTAAATATTAATTGGAAATTTTAAGACTCTTTCTATAACTTGTGATATCACAGGTAGAATACATTTTTATTCACTTTAATAATTAACCTTTTGTTTCCCATTGCTTTACTAGTAGAACATATTTTAAGACATATGTCTAGGCACTAAAAGGTTAAATATATACCAATACAAATACTAAATATTTATAGATTCATTGTGAAATATAGAAATTTTTGACAAAGTGCTTTAATATGTTCTATTTAACCTGTGACATTACTGGTAGGATTTGTGTGATAAATATGTCAAAATTTTCACATGGCTGAGTGGTTAGAATGTTCACATTCTGACCATGAGACTAAGGTTTGAAACTCACCATGATCGATTTGTCAAGAAGGAAACTTCCTAATCTTATCAGACTGGAGGGGGTTGATCTCAGTGTGTGGCACCTTTGGAAAGTCCCTGAAAACTATACCATGGATTGACCCAACCCTTGTGAGTGAAATTGGGTAGACATAGACGGAACCCTTGGGGTCTGTCAATATCTGTGCTAGCAAGTCGTCACAAGCTATTGTAGTCAAGGGCTTGAGCATGCTGGCCTTGTTCAAATTGTTGATTATGCTAGATAACACGCTCTTTCCCAGAAACTGTAACTAAGGTCTGTTCAGCATAGGTGCAGTATAAACCACAGGTGGGCGTTGAATAAACACAAATACGACTGAGCAAGCATCTGCAACAGGGTATTGGCCAGCCGCCCTAGTAGATGGGTATCCGCGAATACGAGTAGCCAGCTATATATGTGTGTGTGTGTGTGTTTATGTCTGTGTGTGTGTGTATGTCTGTGTGTGTGTGTGTGTGTGTGTGTATGTGTGGTGTGTGTATGTGTATATATGTATGTGGTGTGTGTATGTCAAAACTTTCATTCATTCCCATCATATATCTAGCTTTAGTTGGCAACCAATCTAGGAGAAAGACAACTCTGAATTCAAAACTGGTTGGGTGTTGGACTATCAATCTCCACTCTATAAAAACCTACTTGCTAAATCAAGAAATCATAACAGCAACAACCTGGTGTGGTGAGGCTGTGGACAAAGACATCACAGTGGAGTCTAGTGGATTAACATACAATACATACTAGTATGTGACAGAAGAGTCAAGACCAAATGAGTTTCAAGTTATTATGTTGTACCACTTGGTATTAATGATCCAAGAAAGAAGTCTGAAAACAAAAAGGAAGCCTATAACTAAAGATAAAGTGAAGAGTAGAACTTACTTGTTGAGGACCCTTGTTAACGACACCATTTCTCTTGCTTACTTCCTCCATTTTGCGGGCACTCAAAAGATGGCACCAAAGCAAATAATTAAGCTGAAAATATATAAAGAGGGACGAAAAAAAGGTTTGATTAAACATTACCGCTTTATTAATTGAAACAACTTTCAGGAACAGAAGAATCAGTTTGGGATATTTAACATAAGAATCCTGTTCAAAGAAAACTTTTGTTCCTTAGAAACTTTTTAGTCTATTACATTTTTGGTTTAGTTTAGTTTGATGTAAAAGCTTGTAGTGCCATCTTATGTACAATGTTAGAAAAATCTTAGAAGTGTCTGATGTTTACTCAGCTCTGTATTACTTGTGAGTGTATATTATTTAAGAAATGTTTGCCGCAAACTTAATTTTACTTCATTTTAGTGCAAATTATGGCCACGCATTTGACATTTTTCTTCCCATCTGGAAAATATGCAGCAGAATTCAAGCAATGGATCAATGAACGATTACATAATGCACAGTAGGTGCTAGCAGGTGTTGAGAATGGTATATGAATTAAAAGACACACACATGCAAAAAGACCTTTCTTGAACACCTCAGAACTTAAAAATTTATGAATTGCAGGAACTTTCAAAGACAGCACTGATGCAGCCCAAACACAGAATCCACCCGGCTGATCTCACTGAATCTTTTTGCAGCATCAATTTGTTGATAGTTTAATTTGTATTTATTTCAAAGCAATGTTATTTACATATAAACACAGTGTGTGACACAGCTCATGGCAATTGCTCAGAGGAGCTGCATTCACTTGTTCCCAGACTTCATGAGTTCAAGCGCCCTACGAGGCTGGCATCCCGCTCTCACCCTTTCACTGTTGAAACTCCTAAATGTAGCCGTCTCTTCTACTCCAATAGCTTCATGTCTCGCACCTCTCGCCTGTGGAACTCCCTTCCCTATTCCAGTTTCCCTGAGAGTTATAATCTCCAGCTATTCAAATGTAATGTCAATCGACATCTCCAGTTGCCTTGATCTATCCTTTACCCTTCTCGTCATCCTTTCTTCTATCACTCCTATCTGATCTTGCTCCAAATTTTCTGTAACCCCTTGCATCCTAGTGGCTTCTCGCCTTGCTTGGGGTGAAACGCTTAAACTAAGTGCTTCCCTTTCAATGAAATAAGTTTAATATAGAGGTCTACCTCAAATCAAGGTATGTTGTCAAATATATTAGAGTACCATCAATTTATATGACTAAAATATTTTGTCAAAAGAAATGTTGAAAACTTCTGTATCAACTTCATATGGGGGATTAAACAATTTAGTTGAAAGGTGGTGGTGGGTCATAAAAACCAGGGAAAATATTTTATTGATTGAATAATGATGATATGAATTGCTAAACAAGCTGAAAAAAGTCTCAATTCATTCTATCACTCCAGGAAGTACCAACTCCTTTTGCCAAGTTTTATCTTTACAAGACACTGATTCAATCAAAAAATGGAGTATTGCTGCCATATGTGGGCTGGAGCTGCACAATCTTCACTTTCCAACCTTGTTGTGGAAGATTTATTCTACATTTTGCAGACTCTTTCCCCATGCACACACCTATCATTTCAAGCCTACCACTATTTTCATGGAAAATGTTCAGATGAGTTCCATTCTTTCGTTCAGTCAATTCAGATCTTGACAGCTAGGACAAGCTATGCCACTTCCATGGAATTAAATTATTTCCTTCATCTTCCAAAAATAAGAAAGTTCCACTCAGACAGCTTCCCCCCATCCAAAAAAAAAAAAAACTGATACTTTGTAAAACAGACTCACACATGGGTTCTTCCTTGAACCCAATAATCAACCTCTTCAAGTTAATGAACATTATCTATCCTGCTTATCATGATAATTTTCGCTTCCTATCACCCCCTTCTTCCATTCATATCACATACTTCATTCATCATAACCATTTTGACAATAACCCTCTATGCTACAATCTTAACCTCTTCAAGAGTTACTCATTATCTATCCTCCTTATTCTTATAATCTTCACTTCCTACCACCTCCTCTTTCATTCATTCATATCACACACCTCATTCATCATAACCACTTTGACAGTAACCCTCTTCATTACAAACTTTACCCCTTCAAGTCAAGGATCAATTGCTATCTATCCACCTTATCCTCATAATCTTCACTTTCTAATACCTCTTTCATTCATATCATACGGCTCATTTATCATTACCATTTTAATAGTTACCCTCTACTCTGAGTGGCTCTCGAGCCTTTTTACTGGGTGAATTATAGTATAAAAAATATAAAAAATTTTGTAAAAAAAAAGAAAAAATATAATTTCAAAAGAGTAAAATATAAACAAAGACATCAAACTTTAATTTGCAATTATTTGTAAGAGTAGCTACTGGTCAGAAACACAACCAGCTTAAATATTTGTCAAACATAATCATTGCTTCGCTGTTTGAAAGTGAACATCTCTGACGTGACCAAACTGCAATAATTCAAATCTATATTCCCCATAGGAAAACAACAAAGAAATTAATGAAATTAACTGATTTTACCAGTGTTTTTTATCAAATTTTAAATATGGTTTTCTAAGATTAAAAGATTATTATAAATGGGTTTAGTTCGGATAACTGAAAAATATTCGGATGATTACAATTTTTTTTTCATTTCACTCCCATATAATCAGAGTCCATAAAATCAACTGTATTGAAGTGAATATTAGAGGAAGAGTTGCCTCCCCACTGTCATCAAAAGAGTTTTCACATATTTTACATTACAATACCGTGTGTAAAGAAAGGGATGGATTTTTTATTTAAATCCGACAGACTTTATTACTTAAACACTATTTTTAGTGGATAGAACGTCAGATCCCATGATGGTTTCCCCTAGGGGAACGCAGATTCGAATCATGCTGGGGAGTGCATATTTTTTCCTAATAAGATTTCTCAGGCTGGTAGATGAAAATAAATATATATACTATTTAATAAATAAACAGGGCATCTACTCAAATACATTTATCCACTAACTAATAAAAATTTTACAGTGTATGATAAACTATTGCTAAGTAAATATTAACTTTATAACAGTCCAATTCTATATGAAAATGCACAGATAGCAGGATGGTTATCAGTGCGGAAGGGGAAATCGTTATGTTGAGTTCAAATTCCGAGTGTTTTCATTCACTTTGCACTAATGCACTTGCAAAAGGCAAGGATCTAAATTCCTCCCACTAAGAGTTTAACTGCAGAGCAAATTGAACTCTCTTGCCAACATAAAGGAAAACTGAATTCAAACCTTTTTAAATAATAGGGCATACCGGGATCTTTAAGATTAGTAGGACAATTTTGAATTTAAAACGAGCCTGAAATGCTATAGAAACACCCATTGCCGCTACAGATGCTCTATATGCAGTGATAGAACTTGTGATCATGAATTCTAATTTATAATTAACTAGCAGCCATACCCAGTTGGTCAATCAGAAAAAGCGTTCAATTAGAATAGAGCAAAAACAGCATCATCTTAAGTTGAAATAGAGACAATCTTCTTCAATTACTTTAAAGTACTTTCATTAAAAAAACATTTTGAATTAATGCAGTTACTGATATAACAAAAGTAGTCTGTATTTATTCAATCAAAGTTAGCTGAGGACATGAAGGGGTATAACAGGCAACATGAAAACCCACTTCAGACCACAATTATTTTGGAGTTTTTGAAATTCAATTTGTCATTGTGCTACCAGGGAAGGAGGATAAATTTATAAAGTAATTGTTCAGTTTGATGAAAATTGGTTGAAAGACCAACAAAAAGAAAGAAACCAGCAAAAATCGCCATTTTTCATAATTTACACAGGTTTTCTCTATATGGGTGGACTCAATTATCAAATTAAATGATTGTTAAACAATCAACTTATTGTTGACTACAATTGAATGAAGATTGCATTAGATTGCTTGAAAATTGAAGGAGTTTTTAGTTTAAAATTTGTGTTGAAATTGATTTTTAGTTTTTTGTGGTTTTTCCCTAAACACAGTGACATAGAAATAAAAATGAGGTATCGTTGAGTCCATCATGATGTAAATAACCTACATACTGAGTTTGAATGAAATTGGAGAAAAAAAGTTGAATTTATCGATTTTTGATTTGATTTATCAATTATTGATTTTTTAAATTATCATTTTTTTTATGCTCAGAAGCTATCTCTTACATTGTACAATGTATATGCCAAGTTTGGTCAAAATCGGTTGGATGGATCTCAAGTGAAAAGATATCAGACAGACACACAGACATCCTGTTTTAAATAAAAATTTATGTTTTTTTTTTTCTTTTAGACAAAAATTTTTAACTTCTTTTCTAACATGAACAAAAACAAATTAATTTTAATTATATTTCTAAAATAGAATATTGATTTACATGTGAAATTTTTTAACATAGCGAGATGTTTCACGATCATCCACTGGTTCGTCTTGGAATCTGTCTACTGTGAATGATAAAGTCTTACTCACTTACTGGATATATTGTACAAATGAAACCACTTGTGATCAGGTTCCCATCCATAATACCAGTACATTAATTGCTGTTCAAATCAAAGGTTTAAAAAGAAAATCATTCAAAAAAAAAAAAAAATTTCAAAATATGATAGTGGTGGCTATTTCAGATCTTTTCTGTTAATTCACCCCAAAATAAATTTATTTACTAAAATTCAACACACATATGAACATATTTGTTTTGTCTTCCACAGGGGGGAGCAATTTACAATGAATTTCTTTAGCACATTGGACCCTATTAATTTTTATAAATTTTTTTTTTTTTTTTTAATTCATGATCTGGACTAATATGGAAAAAAATACTTATGACCGTATTGCCTATTGTACAACTCCACAATGCATCTTGTTTGCTTTTCTTATTTGAGGAAATGGCAAAATTTCTTAAGAATCCAAAAAAACAATTACTACTAACTACAGTTTACTCAATATTTTATGTATTTTGTACATTTTTCGTTTTATTTCTAATTATGTAATAATACATTTTTTTTTTCAAATCCCCCCCACCAAAAGGATGGTTCATGAATCTCGTTAAAGAAAAATATATGCGTTTTGTAAGAGATAAATCAACATTTGATAGGAAGGAATCGTTTGAAACGCTCAAATCGACTATACTCAACAAGTAGTCAAAATGAAAAACTGCCATTTCTTAAAAAAATATTTGCATCGATTTATTTTAGAGAAAATACTTCATTCATTCAGGAAGTTATTTTAAAAAACTGAAGATGGATTTTTAAAGGCAATACACACTATTGTTTGCTTTATTTTACTATTAAATATTCATTGAGTCGATGTTAAGTCTAGTTTAAGAAAATTGCACGCAAATTTAATGATTCATTAAAATAAAAAAGTAAAATTAAAAATATTTTTGCTTAATGAGAACAAGAAAAAAATAACTTTGTAATTAAAAAGTTCTTATACGTACAATTATTCAATTACTTAGTATCTAAAATATTTATGCAAATAGCTGCAAAAATTAACTTCAAAATAAATAAACGAAAAAAGAATAAAAAAATCTTATATTCTTTTTAAAATTCAAGTTTATGTTTTTAGTTTAACAAATTTTAAAAATTCAAGTTAAATGTACGAACAGAGATGTGATTTGAGTGTGTTACAATCAATGAATATGCATGTTAGTAGGATATAAATCAATGAATATCTTATCAAAGTTTTAAAAAAAAAATGTATTTCTAATTTTCTAAACGGAAACCCATCATAACAAACTCACCTTCCTAGGTTATCGTCTGTCATCAGCCATTTTGAATTTACCGCAGTTGTAACCGGATACGGAAGTGAGCCTCGTTCTAAAAATGTTATTGTCGGTTGCCTTGGTTACTTTTTAAACAATTATACATGTGTAATTTCTTGGCGAAGAAAGTAATTATTTCTAAATACGCATTGGGATTTTTAAAGTTTTTATTCCCTCCTTCATAGACAAATACGAGTACTAGTTAGGACTTCATAGAGAAAATTATGGTATGAATGTATTGGTTTGGTGTAGGACTATTGCAAATATTTCGGTCAGTGATTGTGGCTAGCTCGGTTTAAAAATGAAATGTAAGGCAAAAGATGACCAACCTTTCCCATGCCATACACCATTTTGACCTTGTGCCGTATTTATTTATTGTACAATGTACATTAATGTACAATAAATATAAAAGGTAATAATTTCCTCATTTATCACCTGTTAAAAATTGGCCAATTCTTATTTAAAACTTTGTAAATGCCTCCAGTTGTATGTACTATCGGGTGTGGGAAATTTGTCCTGGCCTTCCCACACGAAAGGAAAGGTGACAGAATCGAAAAAAAAAAAAAAGAAAAAAAAACAACAGCTTGAAAGTTTAGAGTAGAAAATTCTCTCTTTTAAGCTGAAGAATGAGAACTCAAACTTCTGCTCAGGGTGTAATAATGGAAGAAAAAAAACGTTTATTTACATACACAAAAAAAAGGGATATACACAAAATATGAGAGAAAGAAAGGGTGAAGAAAATTCCTTTAACTTAATAGAAGAAGTAAACAGGAGGATCTTAGGAAGCAGATCGCAATTAGTTTTAGTAGAGGGCTGATGTTCTCTCAAGCCCAGCTTGTAGATTTCTTTCTGGAAACAGGTTCCGAAGATGACTGGTGTTACTGTCACCAACCTGATGTTATCACAGACAATGTCAAATACTCAAGATTTATTGTAAAAAATACAATTTTGGCACAAGGCCTAAAAGGGGAATAGGTTTCCCTACTGCAGTACCAAGTAAAATGGTGACTTGTGTGGCAAATTTGAATTAACCCACAACAAAGAAAAAGGCGAGAAAGATTTTTAGATATAAAATATTTTTGTGGTTTTACAAATAAATTTTTCTCAGTATGTATGGGTGTTTAAGTTCCTTGTTTGTAGTTGTTTGCTAAGATGAAAAGAAATATAATTTCTTTGCATGTATTTGTGAAAAAAAGAGTCAAGGGAGAAAGTGAGGATGAAAGTGTAAGTACCACATAGATTGGTGAGGAAAACGAGTGAATGTCACGTAACTTGTGGAGGAAGAGTGTAAGTGTCACATAGCTTGGTGAGGAAGATGGGTGAATGTCATGTAGCTTGGTAAGGAAGAGTGTAAATGTTGCATATCCTGATGAGGAAGAGTGTAAGTGTTACATAGCTTGGTGAGGAAGAGTGTACATTTCATATAGCTTAATGAGGAGCTATTTAAGTGTCATGTATCTCAGTGAGGAAAATGGGTGAATGAGTAAAGGAATCTCTGTTAAACTGTGGTGTCATAAATCTGTTGCAGTATGTTGCTGCTCATTCTCCTAACTTCTTTTGTCTATTTAGGGACTTTGCTTAAATACTCTTCAAAGGGATCACAAAGCATGTTTTTTTTATTTTCTGGGAATGTGACCCATTGATTGAAAAGTGTTAAATATTTATTTTCAAAGGATTAATTTATTAACCAGAAGAATGCACAGATCCTCCAACTCAGAAACCATTTTGTCATTTGATTTTGTAGAAAACAAAGACAAAATATTTTTGTGGGACTTTGTTTTGCAATGATCTTGGTAATTCATTTCTTTCAATTCAAAAGGAAACAAATACTAAAATTTATTTAAAGTTGTAGAGTTGTGTTTGAAAATTATTTCTTTCTTCACTATTCACATGCTTTTTCCTTTACAAGGGTATACCAATAACTTGCATTGCAGCCAAATGTGCACACTCTGGTGACAGGTTTTGATAAAAGCAGTACATAACCTTGCAGTGGGGGGGGCAGTTAAAATTACCTTCAGGTCAGGTAACCCAGTCCACTCAGACAGTCTCTGATTCAATGTTTTCCCAAATATTTAGATGTGATTACCTTTGTTCAAATTTTTAAAAAACACTCTTGACACCCAGCCATGAAGCTGTCACACAATCCCCACTCATGAACTAAGATGCACAGTGTGTCAGTTCCTAGGATGCATGCCTAAATGTTTAAGATCAGGCAACTGACAAGTAAATTTATGGTACTGAACAGGGGATTTACAGCAACCTATCCTAGTTCACCAATAAAAAAATGTATATATCAACAATCACTTAAAATTACGAGCCATGAGATCCATGCCTACTGAAACATCAAGATTATGATTATTATTATTTAGATAAGAATGGTGAAGCTCAGGCTGTTGCTTTGGACATCTTGAAGGTGTTTGACATGCAGGTCTTCTTCACAAGTTGAACGATTATGGCATGTCTGAACAAATTTTTATCTCATTCAATCTTTCTTATCAAATCCCAAAATGAAAGTTGTCTTGAATGGCCACTCTTCTAGATCTTTTTATATTAATATGGGTTTCCTCCAGGCTCTATCCTTAAACCTACATTTTTCCTAATTTTCATCAACAAACTTCCTTTATTATCTACGCTGATGACACAACTATTTACTCCTAAGTTATCATTATTTACATGCTTTCTTTACCAGCGGCTTCCATATCATATTTATTTCTATGCTAGGCCTACAATTGCATACAATTATGAAAATATAAAAAACATTTTTAAACATAACTTAAAAAAATAGTCATACTATTGAAATATTGTTAAACATTGTTAAACACTGTATCTTTTCTTTTCTTAAATTGCACTCTTCTCTAAGTGTTAATAATAATAATAATAATAATAACAATAAATATTAACAATAACTAGCCAAATCCCCTTCTTATGAACATTTCTCTTAATAATAATTTCCAAATAATTCAGTAGACGACATTATTTTATTTATAGTAACTGGATTTATAGTGATTGCCTGTCTCGTTTTCTATTGTTCTATAATGTATGTTTAAAAAATGGCACTTTTATCATAGTCGCCATTGTTTCTCAACCTTTTGGCTAATATCAAAGAGCAGTATATGTTATTATGAGCTTAATCTGATTCTCTCTCTTCACTTATATCTTCCCTTCTTTCATTTTCTCACTGAAACCAAATAGCGTCTTTTCCTCTCTTTCCAAACAATCAAAACAGAATAGTCCATTATTTATGAGGTACTGGCAGATAAAAATATATCTGTTAAAGAATATGACAAAATAAGTAAATATAATGAGGGGAGAGAAAATGAAATCAGGCATGGCTGATCATGTATGGAGGAAAAAGGGTAGTCATCAACCCCTGTAGAATGATTTGAAACTGGTCTGTCCTGCTATTTACCCATAGCTGGGGTGGAAAGAAGAGGATTCATACCTTTCCCAAGGGTATTAGCACATAAGTGAATGTAATGAATTCGACTGTAATTCAAAGCTTGCTACATTGAAAACAAACTTCACTACATAGTCAAGAGGTGGCTACTACATTTTGATACATACATACCTATATATATATATATATATATATACTTCCAACTGAATTCTTTATCTTTCTCTCTATCTCTTTTACACTTGAACTTTTTCACCTTATCCTACTGTATTATTATATTGTGTTATATAAAGATTTATTTTGTATTTATTAACACTGTGCATCGCCCTGTTGGCTGGGGCTTCAGAATATGCCAACTGCACCTCTGCAG